GGGATGATGCCCTGACGGGGGGTTTACTACGGGCCATAGTGTATGCGAATTGCGCATTTGGCCATGCTGTCATACAGGGCCATGCTTGCTTAATGCTGAGCAGAAGAATGCGCTGAACCTAGTGCTCTAAATGCTTCAATCCCAAGCAGGCCAAAAATGGCATGGCGGGAGTCCGCGCCGCTAGCGTTTCGCGGTCACGCCCACTACCTGCTTCTCTGCTCTCTCTTCAATCTTTTTTCTCTCTCCGACAGCGCGCATACGCAGCGCAAACTCTCAACGATGCGAGCGCGCAAATTCATGCCGACGGTTCGGCCTTCTCCCGATTGGAGTAGACTGTATGTAGCCCATTGCTTTAGGGTGAGCTAAAAAAGTACAAACTGCCTAATTTCGCAGCTTGTATGCACAGTCTTTTTGCACTAGAGTGTTCAAAACCTTTGCTACAAAAATACTTTGGAAGAAAGATTTTTATATTGCATGCAATGATATGCAGCTAGTTTGGATTGAACACTCGACTTTTGACGCAAAACTTGATGAGGCATAGCTGATCAGTAGCATTTGGTGATACAGCCTGCATTGTTTAGTACTAACCATACTATTATGGCGCCAACAGGATCAGCATAAATCCAGAATTTGTCTCCTATGGTTGCACAAACGACTGCGACTAGAGATGTTACGATATCATTACGCATATCCATGGCTAGTACCTAAGAGTAATCGGGTTATCGGTATTAGTCAATATTGCTTGAAATAACCTTCGATGAAGCAGTTCCACGCTTGTAGCAGATCACCATAAGTATAGCTTTGATACCAGAACCAGTGAACATTATGGCTAGGACATATATGTCCACTTCAGGAGCTATCTAAATCTCATAAAATTGGTATCAATTTCGACAATAATTTTAAACTATTTCTACTGACCGCTTCATTTCAGGACTGATTTGATGGAATTACATTGGTCAAGAGCTAAGCTTTAGCTCGAATTTTGTGTAAAATAGCTTCAGGAGAGAAAAGAAAAT